CGTGGGATATGGCGCCTGTTATCAAACGCGACGTTATCACGGCTGAGAGGGCCTCCGTGCATCAAGTCGAAGAGTCGGGGGTGGGAAATCATTCTTTCGGCTCATTTTTCCCCCCAGTCGCCCTCCGATAGTTCAATCCGAAGAAATGACGACCCATCGGAAATCTGGGTCTCGCCGATATTTTTAGAAGAGACGCGCGCGAAGTCGTCGAAGCGAGCGCTGATTGAAAGAGGAGGGGCCCGCTCAAACGACGGGCCGATATATATTCCCGGGTTCTTCCCGAAGGACTCGCACTCGGTTTTCCATCACCCTTCGGCGAGACGAACTGCCAGCAATCCCGCCGATAGGATCGGACGTGCTCGTCCAGGCTCCGCGTAATGGGGCCTCCATTTCCGAAATCGTTGTTTCCCACCAGAGAAACGAGAATTACGAAGGATAGGGACCGGAAACTGCGACCGGAACTTCCCGAATCTCGCGAATCAGCGAGAGGAAGAGAGAAGACACCACTCGAGGTCCAAGGAAGCGACGAATCTGCGGAAACGCGACTGCGCAGATATTTCAGATCGCTACGATTTACCGCCCCGCGTAGTCACGATTATGGATCGAAACGCGTAATTTAATGGGAGTAATTATGAGAATTTAAATCAATTACGTGACTTGGACCACTCGAGTAGCTAACGTTTGACAAGAGTAGCGTTAATAGAATTCATACACTTTTCGTAAGGGCAAAATCGAGATCAATACCTATTTTGGTCGTCTCTGTAGTTAGGATCCTTATGGAGGATCGGAAAGTGTAATTTAATGGGAGTAATTATGAGAATTTAAAACAATTACGTGACTTAGACCACTCGAGTAGCCAACATTTGACAAGAGTAGCGTTAATAGAATTCACGCACTTTTCGTAAGGGCAAAATCGAGATCGATGCCTATTTTGGTCGCCATTGTAATTAGCATCCTTATGGAGGATCGGAAAGCGTAATTTAATGGGAGTAATGATGAGGATTTAAATCAATTACGTGACTTAGACCACTCGAGTAGCCAACATTTGACAAGAGTAGCGTTAATAGAATTCACGCACTTTTCGTAAGGGCAAAATCGAGATCGATACCTATTTTGGTCGCCATTGTAATTAGGATCCTTATGGAGGATCGGAACGCGTAACTTTATGGGAGTAATTATGAGAATTTAAATCAATTACGTGACTTAGACCACTCGAGTAGCCAACATTTGACAAGAGTAGGGTTAACAGAATTCACGCACTTTTCGTAAGGGCAAAATCGAGATCGATACCTATTTTGGTCGCCATTGTAATTAGGATCCTTATGGAGGTCCATTGATCAGTTTTGAGAACCACGTGGGAAAATTAAGGTAAAAACGTATCTCGGGATTCGGTCCAGGGTGGTTTTCCCGGGGGTTCTTTAATACGTCATTACGACGTCTCGATGTTCCCCGAGGGAACCTCGTAATCCGAAGCTGTCCGCGTTGTCGGGATTAATTTACGCGATAACCTCGCCCTCTTTCCGTGGATTGTGCGCCGTTTATGCGAAGCGCCGGAAAGAATTGATAAAGTCGCCGAGGGTGCAAGTCTCTTTCGAGTCTTCTTCCTTTTATGCTCCTGAAGTCGTCCTCGTGCGTGTCCACTCGACGTCGCGGCCATGTTCACTCCAATTCCCTCGCGCCCTTGAGTTTTCCTTTTCAACCCCTGTCTAGAGGCAATCCCTGAATCGGGGTGCACCACGCCCACCTGGACGAGGACCTTGTGCAACTCGCCGTAAAGAAAAACAGGGGACGTTTCCTATTTTTCTTTTTTATTTCGCTCCTCTCGAGGACCCTCGCATAAACTCGAAGAAAAGCGGAGGCGCGGAGTACGGGGTGAGTTTTTGAATTTCCTCGGATTTTTTAAAGCGTGATATCCAGATTATTATACGTGTGGAACAAGGGGGATCCAAATAGGACCCCATGCAAGTCCCCTTAAAAAAAAAAAATGGATACGTTTCAGTTCGGAGTAAAGTCTCATAAGGGAGACTCCTTAGACACCACTCTCATGTCGCCTTAAGAGAGGCACTTTCAACCCCCGCTCTTTGGATTTAAGTCTACGCGTGTAAGAATTCAATAAACATCGAAGGGTGGAGCGGCAGTCGATAAATCATCGGGAAAAGGCCACCCCGTAACGCGCGGCCACCCACCGCCACCCACCGCCACCCACCGCCACCCACTTCCACCCACCTCCACCTGTTTCCACGCACCTAGTTTCACCCATTTCCACCCACTCCCACCCACCACACGACGCACGCGCCGCGTTACAGCTTTACGACCGGGACAGTCGTTCGACCATTCTCTCTCCTTGCGCGCTGCACCTTGCTGCAAGCGATGCAAGGATCGCAGAGGGGGGGTGCAGCACGCGCTGCAGTGCGCTGCACCGCGGAAACATGCCACTGCGGCAGCTTACGTCTTCTCCTTGGTACCCGGGTTATTACGTGGATTTACGCACTGCTCCTTCGCGTTAATCTCCCAGCGAGCGGAGTGCGCTTCGGCGTGCTGCAGTTCGCTGCAGCGCGCTTCGACCGAGCCGGAGTTACGGCGCGGACACACCCCGAAGCGGCCACCTCGTCCGTCTCACACCCTCGGGAGCCTTTAAATTAGTCCTCCAGGGGATGGAAATTTCCCGGAGGACTCGAGTGGTCCCGAGTGCCAGGACGAACCGACTCGGGGGAATTAACCCTCGGGATTAAAATCGGGGGTGTTTTCGAGGGACCGATGCAGATTAGAGGGGCGCATCGCGGGGCTCTAGGGGTGCATCCGAAGGATTCATTTCTTTCCCTCGAGATGCAGATTAGAGAGGCGTACGATAGTTGGGGTGCATCCGGAAGATCTTTTTTTTGTTCTTTTTTAAGGCGCAGAGAGTTTAGGGGTGCATCCGGAAGATTTTTTTTTGTTCTTTTTTAAGGCGCAGATAGTTTAGGGGTGTATCCGGAAGATCTTTTTTTTTATTCTTTTTTAAGGTGCAGAGAGTTTAGGGGTGCATCCGGAAGATCTTTTTTTTGTTCTTTTTTAAGGCGCAGATAGTTTAGAGGTGCATCCGGAAGATCTTTTTTTTATTCTTTTTTAATGCAGAGAGTTTAGGGGTGCATCCGGAAGATCTTTTTTTAATTCTTTTTTAATGCAGAGAGTTTAGGGGTGTATCCGGAAGATCTTTTTTTTTATTCTTTTTTAAGGTGCAGAGAGTTTAGGGGTGCATCCGGAAGATCTTTTTTTTATTCTTTTTTAATGCAGAGAGTTTAGGGGTGTATCCCGAGGACTGTTTCTTTTTTTTTGTTCAGGAGGGAAAATCGAAGATCCCGCGTAAGGGGAACGTGGCGTCCGGTTGCACGTCCCGAGGGATAATCCCATTTTACGCGATAGCGCGGAACCACCCCCAGGGGGTGGGAAGAAGAATTAGTCGCGAGCACGGGCTTCGACGCTTAATTCACACCGGCTTCCGGGGGGAGACAAATGTAGCCGGAAATTTATCCCGGGGGAGGATAATTTCGTTTGCTCCTCCTTGGTGTCTTATTGCTATGGCGAGTCCTCCCTTAGCGCGGTTCATTCTAGCCCCTGAAGAGCACTACACGTGGCGGCCACTTCCACCCCTCGTCTTGACGGATGACGTGACTAATTTATATCAACAATGCCTGCGTTATTATTTTACGTATTTGTCCCCATGAAACAAAATTTCCTTGGGAACATCCAACTATCTAAGCGAGGTCCGTTCTCACCCCCTAAGAAGCAGTACTCGTGGCGACCATTTCCATCCCCTTGACTCGACATATAATGCAATTAATTTACATTAACAATTCCTGCGGGTTAACCATGATCCGATAAGCCGCAACATGCGATAAGGGGTGGATAAATGCAAAGTCAAAAAATTAGGAAGAATTCAACTTTTCATATCATTTCTGAAGACTAGGGGATGTATATTGTATACATTTAATAATAATATTATATATCGGAATATATATTCCGCAAGGGTGTAGATACAAGGTATCAGTGAAAATCGCTGGGAATATTGATAAAATCGATCGGGTGGAGGAACGCATCCACCGATATGAGGAATTCCGAAATAGAATTCCTTGGCGATGATATTGGAAGTACACCATGGGAACGCGAAAATGAGATCGCGAAGGGGCGACTCGCAAGAATCGCGCGAGTGGAGGGAAAATTTGAATTCCCACCTGACGCGTCGGAAAATCCGCGACGTTTTGTTTCTTTATCTCGGGCTTCCCCGTTCTCGAATATAAGTCAACTTTTTTTTCCGCATCGTATTTCGACCACTAGTAACTCGAAAGTAATTGAAAATAATTGGAAATAGTTCATTGGATAGAATTGAAAAAAAATTAATATAGATACGCTGCCGCGAAACGTCAAATGTCTATACTCGAGTAAAGAAATCGGGGAAACAAAATGGCCGACGATTTTTGATCGGCTCTTTGTTCGATGCATCCTGAGGGGGGGAATGTTCCCAGAGGAATGAGAAACGGCGGAGTTCGGGGGAAATAAAAATATCCTTCACGGGGGAGGGAAAAATGGACGGAAGCTGGGAAATAAGTTATCGCCGAATTTCTCTCGTTGGGCAATTTCACGGGATTCGCGTCGCCGATGTACGAGTAATCGGGCGTCGCATCCGCCGAAATTTATCGGCCGCGTAAATCCACCGCGACGAGCAAATGAGTATAAACACTCGTTTCGGAATCGGCGAAAGGGAGAAAATTTACGAGGAAATTAAATCAATCGGTCTCTCACGTGACACAGATCGCAATCCCTTTGCCGAATTTCGGAAAGCGGGTACAAGTCACTTTCAATTAATCCGTCGAATTGGGCAAGTAATTAGCGAAAATCTTAATTAAACCAGGGGAGCCGAAATGCCGATTCTCAAATCTCATGAAATTACCAAGGGAATTATTTTAGTGAATCCAGGTAAATCGGTGAAGATTTGATCTGTCGAGAGAAAAAAAAAGACGTACCTGGTTGGAGTCAGCGATTTCAATGCCGGTCGCCATTTTGGTCAAGAAATATCCTTGTAAGACCAAATCCCCACTTTTCCCGAGTTTCCTGCAGGATCTCCGATGTCACCGAATCGATCTCTCGATCGTGCCCTCGTTCTGTCCACTGGGACTAAGCAATCGATCGGTTCCGATATCGATTGCTCTGCACATTCGGGCATGGATCCATTGTACTTTCGATCGGGAGGAATCGCCGTGGTCTTCGATTATCAATTAATGACTCGATTATTTCCAATATAGGCTGGAAAATCGGGTGAATCGCTGATCAGGATAGGCAGATTCCGCCAATCAATAGATCGATGACTGCTGTATCTGCAAAGGGACCAACGAAGGTGTTCATTGAACTGAGCGCAATGAAAGATTGCTCCAATTGCAGCTTCCGAAGAGAGAAAAGATTAGAGACGAAGAAAAGAGAGAAACGACCCCAAATCATTTTCCAATCGCTACTATCGGTATTTGTTAATTTAATCGAACCGTAAATAGCCCGGCCTCTCCTCCTGGATTTTTCATTTTCGCAAAATTGAGGAAAAACCATTTTTTTTTCATATTTAAGGACATTTGTACGTGCGGTTCGGTTTTGGACAGTTGGAAAAATTGAAGATCGGCGATCAACTATTTCCAATTGGTTTCCCTCGGATCTGGATCTATCGACATTACGTGCTAAATTATAAATCGATATCTCAATTTGCATCCGTGTCAAGTGCAGACTTGGAAGGTCCAGTTGGTCTGAAAATTCAGGAAAAATCGGGAAAAATCAAGGCAGATCCCCGCAAAATGGGAGGAAAAACCATTTTTTTTTCATATTTAAGGACATTTGTACGTGCGGTTCGGTTTTGGACAGTTGGAAAAATTGAAGATCGGCGATCAACTATTTCCAATTGGTTTCCCTCGGATCTGGATCTATCGACATTACGTGCTAAATTATAAATCGATATCTCAATTTGCATCCGTGTCAGGTGCAGACTCGGAAGGTCCAGTTGGTCTGAAAATTCAGGAAAAATCGGGAAAAATCAAGGCAGATCCCCTTCCGCGTGGATGGTCGATCGGAATAATCAATTTTCACATTGAACCAGACTTGTGGAAATGCGTATTTGATTTCGAACGAAACATCTAATAAAAAATGACATTTAAATCTTCAATTGGAAAATGGCTGTATTTATTTTCTGAGGAAATTTCCATTACCAGAATTCACTTCGATGAACTTTTATTTTTGGGTCTATCTTCGGCGATAAAAACGAGGTACAATTGAGGTAAATCAAAGAGTCATTTTTTAATACGGACTGATTTTCCGGAAACTTTTCGCGAAATGGGAGGGATGATTTTCACCCCTTTCTCGATTCGGGGGGAAACCCTTCCGAGGAAAGGGTCTCGAGAACTTTTTCGCGTAAGTCATCCGGTGAAGTGCATTTGCCATTTCTCAAGTCCTTGCATCGTCCTCTTGCGTCTCCGAGCATCTTTGTCACTTTCTGCCCTTTTTCCCCTTTTGTTCCTTCCGACCCTTTCCCGAGGGACTCTCCAGACCGACACAAATTGCACACCGGCGACATTTGGCTCCGGCTCAAAAAGTGCATCCGAATTTCTTCCGGCGCCCCTACTTCGACAACTTCACCGAGACTTCAGGGTTCTATCGAGACAAGACAGTCGAATGAAATTTCAAATTCAACATTACAAGAAGTCTCCACTAATCCCCGAAGAAATTTCCCCAGTAGAAATAAATTGGCGAGGCATCGATGCTCGAGCTCCCAAAACCTGGAATTAAGGTGAAGTAAAACACGTCGAGGAACTTGATCAACGTCGATAAAGAAGATTCTTCTAAATGCCTACGTCGCCGACATTCGTTTTTATATTGACAGCTGGGTCGAATTACATTGAATATTGTACCAAATGGCATACTACACCTGTCGTTTTCGTGCAATAAATATCAAGAAATCGAAGTAAAACTCCAGAAATCCTCTGGATTCAAGCTTTCTGGGGCCCTAATTGACTGCAGAGGGACCCCCTGCGCCATCTGTGATTTCCAGGTCAATTAAATTTTCACTCCGAGACCTCGTATTACCATCGTTTTAGCATAGAAGCGCATACAACACTTTTTTCCCCTTATCCCGTTCAAATGCGAGTTTATCGATTACCAGAGTGTTCTAAATTCTCGTACAATTGTCCTGACCCTTTCGATTCTCATATCAGAGCCTTTGATAATTTTATATCGATCGACATATGAGAGCTCGACGTCATTTTGGTTCTGGTCTGGGCTGAGTTAAAAAATTTTCTTAAAAAATCCAAATTTTCAATCAGTGTCAGGACAATTCTTAGATGATCAGGTGTGTCAAAGTTTCGGACAGTTTGGTCCAATGCCCTTAAAAAAAAGTGTGGTATTCGTATCGACTGATTTGAAGGGTGTTTCACTCCACCTTAAAAAGCACAACGAATCGGCGCCGGTGCAATTAATTGAAATAAAATTGAATTCCGTGAAATTGGACCCGGGAATCCAATTAAATTGTATTTGATACGAACCCATGGGAGGTGGCCCACCGTCATTCGGTTACCTAATCGACTCGCATGGGATCCGATCAGCCCGAAATGTACGGCGGGACTAAATCTTGCCAAATTGCGAATCGAGTTAATTATGACGTATAAACCGAGTCCCGAATTTCCTTTGATTTGGAAATAGGTCGGAGGAAATTAGGATGAATCAGACTCGACCGGAAAAGCTGGAAGTCCGACGGGGCGCAATTTCGGGATAATAAATCCTGGTTAGGCTGGCCGGACTGTCGCCGTCCTAACCGGATTTCCTCGTGGAAACCCACCCTGACGCACTCTGCGGTTATCAGGGGGTGAGGCGGGTCGGATAAGGGGATGGAAAAGGAAAATCGTTCAACGGCCCGAGACAAATCTGCTGTCGGACGTATATCGGGCTTCGGGAGATTCTTTTCACAGGTGGGGCACCATCCGGGTGCCGCGGGTTCTCACGTGGAAGATGTGTTATCGTGTTCCATCGCCGTGAACGGGGATGAACCCTGAAGAGGGAACTGGGTTCGACGAGGAAATTCGACGGCGATCAGGGTCGCGTCTTAATCGGCTCCCAAGTGTGGGCTTATCACGAGTCTTGAGATTATGGACAGGGGTACGTTATCATGGGTCCTCAGGGTACACTTCAGGGTGCTAGGGATCTGGAGATGTCGAGAGATTTTGTAGAACTTTTCGAAGAGCTCTTGAAGGTTTTTCTACAATTTTGGAAAATATTTTCGAGCTTTTTAGCCTCGAAGAAACCCTGAAAAAGGAACTGGGTTCAATGACAAAAATTCGACGGCGATCAGGGTCGCGTCTTAATCGGCTCCCAAGTGTGGGCTTATCTCGAGGCTAGAGATTATGGACAGGGGTACGTTATCATGGGTCCTCAGGGTACTCTTCAGGGTGCTGGGGATCTGGAGATGTCAAGAACCCTCTCGAGAGATTTTGCAGAATCTTCCGAAGAGCTCTTGAAGGTTTTTCTACAATTTTCTTCGAGCTTTTTAGCCTCGAAGAAACCCTGAAGAGGGAATTGGGTTCAACGAGAAAAATTCGACGGCGATCAGGGTCTTCAGGGTCGTGTCTTAATCGGCTCCCAAATGTGAGTTTATCTCGACTCCACCGATCCTGGATATGGGAACGTCTTTACGGTTCTTCCGGGAGCTCTTCATGGTGTACGTGATCCCTTAATCTCTCGTGAGATTTTGAAAAATGTCGAAAAATCTCCAGGTCTTTTTTTCCGAATTTTCTGCTGGAGGAAGATGGTTAAATGAATATGAAATTAAAAGAAGGGCGGTTTCGCCCTTCTTCGATTTGAGGGACCGACACCCTGAAATAAACCCTGACATTGAAATTCAAGATCGAGGCTAGAAATTTCTGAATATTGTCAAAAAGCTGAATGCTGCGACAGGGGGGAATCAGTCAATCGGGAGTATTACACGAAGGGTGGTTTAATTATCAGACTCTTAGGATCGATCCCCCGCCTCAAGAATCCAGGGGTGTTCACCCCCGAAAATGTCTCGTCTTAATCCTCCCTTGTACGTAACCCCTTTCCAAGCCCATCGATTCCTGGAGTTACTTTAGCAGGGGTGGCACTTGGCTCCCTGACAACCCCCTGCCTCCCCCTCGGGATCGCGGGATAAAAATGACGCTCCTGTCCCCACCCTCTATTATCTCTGGACCCGTACCAACTTTTAACTAGCGCAAAACAAGGACCGTTTGGCACGTACTTGCCGCTGCATAATTCCTGGACTCGGCCCGCAAAATTCCTGGAAATTGATTGCCCCCTCCAAATCACGGCACACCGACGACCCCCCGTGGGGGCAAGCCCCCCGGAATGGAAAAACTCCGGGGGAGGTTATTCCGCAACCCCCTGAGACCTCCCCAACTTTTGGAAGAACCTATTTCCGACACTTTCGGCATTTCCCCGGTGGCGCACCCCCGACTTTTACGAACCCCCCCAGTGGACCCGATTATTACAGTACCCCACACAGATTTGGCACTAGAAATTACCCCCTACCCGGGTTTTCTCCACCCCCCAAGAAAGTTTCCAAAATTCCGCGGAAAATTCCTGGAATTCTTGATAATATTCGTAGCCAGGATTTTGCTACATTTACACAGGAATATCCCTCGGGGAATTTGAACGTCGTTATCGCAGTTAAAGGAAATTACGAGAAAACCACCTCGTATAGATATTTCAGGAATTATTCTATATTATTAAAATAATAATAATAAATCATCGGAAGTACTTCCTGATATTGTATATGGTTTTGATATAGGCATTGAAGAAAGTGATAAAATTAATTTCTAAGGGGAGTAAGTACGGTATTCTTGGATTTATTAATTTTTATCCAGCTTTGGGAATTTTTTCAGCGGCTTTAAGGTCGTGCCGGAGTTAGCGAGCGTTATTCCGAGGATTTCCCGGTGATTGCTGGTCGACTTTGTTTTTAGTAATTGCTGGAAATTCGCCGCGCATTACGCGCGAGAGGCTGTTACAGAGCTTACGGTTTTCGAGTATTATTTTCCCAGGGGCGCACAACTGGATATCGCGAATGAAATCCGCACACAAAATGCCTGAAGTTCTGCGGAAACGCGCGCGGCGGACATGTTGATCCAATTGGAAAGTTTTCCGCGGCATTTGTGTCGGCCAACTTGCCGCGCGTGAAAACTGGATCCGCCATTTTTCATCTTTCTTCGCCATGGAGAGAAAATTCACGCAAAAGGGTAATAAGTGTAATAACCGCGACGGTAACGAGAAACTACGTGGGGGCGGAAAAAAAATTAAAAAAGCACCCTTCTTCGATTTT